TGATTCTATGATTCTAGTAGCAGTCTGATCCGGTGCTTGGTGCTATTTGGTAACAGTATGTGTTGGCTTAGACTGGGCTCTGCTGCTTTTTCCTGCCTATAATACTTAGCGCTGTGGAGAACATCCTACAAACTTACTGGCAAAGTTACTAGTTTCCTTAAATACAACCATTAACCTCATTTATGGAAATCTGAATGTAAAAGACTAAAGTGCCGAAACAGTGGTGGCCGACTGGATTATATGTAGTACTAGTGATACTGAGGAGTTAGATGCTCAATTGCTCTTTCCCCCCTTTTCATACTTAACAAAAACTGTGTTGAATCTCTCCAACAGTCCTGTTAATGAAACCAGGGACCAAAACTGACACAGCACACTTGCAGCCTAGAGCTGTCTGTAGCTTTTCTAGAAGCCTTTGGTAATGTGAAATCAATTCTAAAATTCCCTGTCCTTGTTGAATCACACTTAAAAGTTGAGTTACTCTTGGAAATGGGGAAAGAAGGGCTAAATGTATATGAAGTTTGATTATTTAGGTTTAGATATGTAATAAGGTGTTTTTCTTAAACGTTCTCTTCTGAGTGAAGCTTCTTTCAGAAATCAGAGTAAATGCTGCATCTTATCCTTAGAAGATGATGACACAATCTGTGTCCTCTATTGGGGGTGTGGGGAAGAATTAAGCTGAAGAGGAATAAGCTGCATGCTTGGTGTCAAGGTATTCCAATTTTGAAAGCGAGGACTTTGGAGTGTTAACCTCTGAGGTTGACAGGACATCTGGGTTTTCACCTGGCCCTTAGTCCTTCCAGGAAGACTAGAGACCTAGTCGTGTTGTGTAACTGGTCCTGTTTCCGTGCAATCTGCATGTCCCGGGAGGAGGGCGTGATCTAAGATTAGCTGTGCCTAAACCACGGGGATCCGGCATCGTTCCTGGCTCATGCGTCTGTTTTGCAGCTGGGCTAGGTCCTGGATGAGATAGGGTGTGCACCCCTTGCAACTGGGAGGAAGCTGGGGGGGCACAGTTGCATCCTCTAGCAACTGGGACTACAGCACGCTGCGGAGTGCAGTTGCCTTGCAGCATGTGTGCGGTTCGTGTTTATGGCTGCTCTGGGTCAGCAGCAGCAATCTTACCGAAATGAGTGTTCGGTCACGGGTTCTGCGCTGCGCTGGCTTCAGCTTCTTCAGCTCGCAAACGGAATTGTCACAGCGTGGAGAGCCACACTTGATCATCTGCCACGTCCAGTTCTTGGCGTAGAGAGCAGATGGTCGAAGGTTATTATGGGTGCAGTAAGAACGCTTCGTAATGTGTGTGTTGGTTTCTCCCTAAGGATGTGCTATGCCCTGTGGTAAAGGCATTCTCAAATGCTCCATGCTAGTTTGTACGGGAGGTGTTTCGAAGTCCTGTGGTCCATGCTCCGTCTCGCCCAACTCATCAAAAGACCGGTCTCGTATACTTCGTGGTCTGGCTTGGGCAGAAAAGGCAGAATGTGAGACCTGGCAGACTGTGCAGATGGAACAGAGATGGGGTGAAAACTTTGACCTCTGAAACCAGTGAGATTATTGTGTTTGGAGTCAGTGAAGCTAGGATTTCACTTGTGATCTGTGTTCTTTGGCACTAAAACCCAGTGAGAATGAGCCGTTGATATGCACTGTACATTTCCACCTGCCCCTGAGGCGTGCTCGGCTCTTTGGCCGCTCATTGCCATAGGAACAACGTGTTCTATTTCCTTTCTTCTATTGCCAACTTGTTCCTGTGCATCGGGAGTTGCTTATCTCTTCCTTTGGTGTGATTACACAATTGGACACCTTAATAAAACCTCCAAATCTTTTTAATTGGAATGGTGGTTCTGTACTCATCACCCTTTGTTCGCCGCAGAATTCACCGATACTAGGAATTGTAATAACTTGAAACAGAAGGCTTACGCTAGGTTGGGCCTCTGATCCGTTTAGTACTGGGTCCTAGAAGATGCTCCGTGTTGGCTCCTTGAGGAGGAAACCTTACAGCAGGTGTATGTTTGACTTGTAGAAAGCAGCTCTGTGCAGGACCTCAGGTCCCTTTGCCCCGTGGTGGGATCGCCAGAGCGATTCCTTTAATGTTTGTCTGACCTGGTTTTTCAAACCTCTGATGATGGCGACTCCAAGGCAGTCCATGTCAGAAGGGAATATCGCTGTTCCCTGCTAAGTCAGGTACGGTGGAAGGAACTCATCCAGAAATCGGAGGAGAAGCATTGAAAGAACAGTGGAAAGTAATTTAAATTCAATATATTTTTATTTTTTGTAAATACAATGAGTACAACTTTTTAACTTCACAAATCAGTTAATCCACTTTGTACAGGAAAAGTTTTACTCATTCTATGATAGTCCAAGTGCTGATTTTTCTCAGTGCTAGCTCCTAATAACAAACCAAATTTTGAAAAGTACAGCAGCTATCTTTAAATGTGTTTTTTTCTACATTTTTCATACATCAAATAAGCAGCTTATAACAGCTTTTCGTGTGTGAGAGGATGTAGGTGAACAAGGCTTCAAAATTAGAACCTGGAGTTTTCTAAAAAGGCATTGGAGACTTTTGGAAATGGTTAGCGTTGCATCGGTCAACAACCTTTATTTCTTTGAAATAAAAATTTCTTCCACCGATATTTTGATAATCGTTTCACTTCTCTGCACGCCTCATTGACAAAGAGTCTGGCCACCGTTGCCTTTGGTTTCAGGGCTGTGCCAAAAGGACAGCCAGCAGGTCACCCACACGGTCATCTCCCTTGTATTTGGTTTTGCTGGTTTAGCCTTCCTTTCTTGACGTGGAGCTTTTCAGGTGTGTGAAGGCGTGCCTCTGTGCGCGTGGAAGAAGGAGGAGGGAAGGTCGGGGAAGGAAGTGTATAAAGCTCTTCTGTCTTCGAGATGTTAACCAGACATCAAAGATCACCAGTTCCTTTTGCAGGAAGAATGGAGCCGCCGTCGTAAGCTGCTTTTTAATCAGTTCTGAAGGCCACTTCATGATGTATTATAGCAGAAGCAATGTTTTGGTAACCCGGTCTTAAATGTTGCCTATCGTATTAAAAACATTTTCCCAACGTAGGCTACTTTTAAACCAGTTCTGAAGGCCGCCGCATCTCACAACAGAAGCCAAGTTTGGTCACCCAGTTCCAAATACTGAACAAACTAAAGTACCTTCTTTCACATTTTGTCTCAGATCTGCCAGTTAAACGAGAGAATAGCGGAGTCTTTGTTAACTATGACTGGCATCTGAATTGCCTCCATCCTGTAGTAACAGGAATAGCAGCCAAATTCCAACCACTTTCACTTTTTCTAGAACAAAGCATTCTCTCCGTGATCTAAATCCCTCTGTTCAGAGCAGCAGAATCATATCTACTGGGGTATTTTTTTGTCAACGGGTTTAAAGGCTAAACATTCCCAGGTTTATGCTTCCTGTAGGTTTTGTTAGTTGAGGCTTATTCTCCGTAAGGTAAAAGTTCGTCTCAAACTGTCCATCCTGATGGTTTATTTGAAGGTAATTTATATGTCACTGGATTTGTACATGTCTGAGAGCAGTCTTGTAATGGGTACATTCCCAATGGTCTTTTTGAAAAACACTTCTTCTATCGTGGACGGGCTAATCGAACGTAAAGCTGGTAACAGCAATAAAAGTTTTCCAAAGCGACAGGGTTGTGTGGGATACCTGGGGAACAGAGAGAGAGAAAAAAACACGTTGCTGAAGTTTTTAGTTTTCCCAAGAAGATCTTTCACTTCACAGAAAAGACCATTACTCAGCAAATGGTACAGACGGGTGCTACCTGTGCTCAAACCACGTGTTTTCTACTCATGTGAGCAAGAAGTTTGACCCCATGGAAAACTCTCTTCATGGAGGCTAGCAGAGCACAGACCAATGCCTCTGAGTTTGGATTTACTCCTTTTTTATTCCCTCAGGGCAGTAGCAACACAGAGACAGGATCTGTTCCAGTGAAGCACTGGAACAGGTTGCCCAGAGAAGCTGTGGATGCCCCATCCCTGGAAGTGTTCAAGGCCAGGCTGGATGAGGCTTTGAGCAACCTGGTCTAGTGGAAGGTGTCCCTGCCCATGGCAGGGGGGTTGGAACTAGGTAGTCTTTAAGGTCCCTTCCAACCCAAACCATTCTGTGATTCTATGATCTGCTCTGACTTGTCCCTCAGACAACAACTAAGTTCTTGGTGCAGTTTGGGGAAGAGCTTGACCTATAATAAATACCCTGTCATTTAAGGCACAATTTAAACCTGCATTGTCATGGTAATAATTGTGTCCCCTTTCGTTTGCCTCATACATCGAATATCGATCGACATTTAGAAAGTTGGGGTTTTTTTTTTTTGGTTAAAGAAGCTGTGCCTTATCTCCAGGTAATGTATTTGTGTAATAGGATGTTTTCTATCCTTTCTCCCAGCTTTTGAAGCCAGCACAACACAGGATGTGTATTCTAGCTGTGCTTACGCCGACTTTTTACAACAGGCATTCTCAAGCTTCTGCTTACAGTGGTCTCCCTAAAAGGAGTAGGTCGTTTGGAAAAACGTTCTGCTTCTCCAATCTGCTCTCCCATGTGTCCTGTTGAGTTTAGAGGAGGGTGTCCCTGCCCATGGCAGGGGGGTTGGAACTAGATGATCTTTAAGGTCCCTTCCAACCCAAACCATTCTATGATTCTATGAGATCACGGGGCCGTAACACCGCCAGGAAGGTAAATCCCAGCCTGAAGATGAAACACAAGCCAAAAGCCCTACCCGACTGGGGTCAGTGTGGCAGCCCTGTCAGTGGTCTGCACTTTTTCCCTTGTTAAACGGTATCTTTTACAGCAGGTCCTGTTTAGCCCAGTAGCTAAATATTTCCAGCAGTGCAGAAACGCAATGGCAAAGCAGCCATGCCTGGAAGAGAAACCATGGCCATGTAAAACCGTTATTCCCTGGCTTCTGCAGCAGGCCCTGGCTCACTCAGGGTCTCCAGGCAGCAGTCCTCACGGAGAAGGCCTTCCATAAGAACAGGAGGTGGTTAATATTTTACTCTGAATTAGCCATAACTGGATAGTTTCTGCAGTCTTGCTCCCATCCCCAGGGCTGGCCATTCCCTTTAGACCAAACAGAATTGCTTCCGAGGCTGCTGCCGCCTCATCTCTGGCTCTGAGCTGAGTCCTGCTGGACAGAGCTTTTATGGGAGCAGATCAAAGTTCCGGAAGGGAAAAATGGTATGAAGGTTCTTCTTCCACCACTCCACCTCCCGCTGTGCTGGTCTCACGGACCTCCGCTGCAGCTGAAGGACCGAGACGTGGACTTTGCAAGCTGGCCTGAACCGACCGGAGCGGCTGCTGCGGGAGACATTAGGTGTGCCCTCCTGTCCCACCCCTCCGCCCTGGTCCACAGGAGGAGGCTGCTCGTCGGTTCACAGCCAGCTCTCCCGGAGTGTGGGGGTATATTTTGCAGAGTACATTTCATGCGTTCCTGGGATTACCCCTGCACACTCTGGGGGATGACAGCTAGAGCATTTACAGCAGGTTTCAAGATTTCTGTATCCCATGGGACTCATCCTCAATGAGACAGAGGGGAATATTTTCTTCCCAAACAATGGTTCTCATAATTGCTGCAGCACCGAGATGTGATCCACAACTTCTCAGTTTTTCACTTCAAAACTGACAACAGACTCAGGGTAGAGTCTTGGAAGAACCATTTAACTTCCTTGTCTCCCAACTTCTGTGTCTGTAAAATGGGAGGAAATGACATGGGGAAGTGTATTGGAGATCATGGGTCAGCAGCGCTCGTACTGCTGTGAGATGTGATGTTGTTCTGAGCATCACTATTCGCAGCATTTAACTGACTAAAATGCAGCTTTCTGAATTGCAAAATGTTCCACAGCAGGTGTTGCTTCCGAGGGGAGGATCTCGCCTTTTACCGCTTTCCCATCTGTCTGAATAATTCCAGGTGCTGGAGTGTGTCCAGAGAAGGACAGCGGGGCTGGGAAGGGTCTGGAGCACAAGTGCTGTGAGGAGCGGCTGAGGGAACTGGGGGTGTTTAGCCTGGAGAAGAGGAGGCTCAGGGGAGACCTTATCGCTCTCTGCAACTACCTGAAAGGGGGTTGCAGAGAGGTGAGGGTTGGTCTCTTCTCCCAAGTGATGGGACAAGAGGAAATGGCCTCAAGTTGCACCAGGGGCGGCTTAGATTGGATATTAGGAAAAGTTTCTTCACCAAAAGGGTCGTCAGGCATTGGAAGGTGCTGCCCTGTGGTGGCCGAGACCCCATCCCTGGAGGTACTTATGCGATGTTTAGGCACATGGTGTAGTGTTGCACTTGGCAGCGATAGGTTAACTGTTGGACTTGACAATCTTAAGGGTCTTTTCCAGCCTTTTCTATGCTTCATTTCATCAGGGAATGCCAGATTCTAGCAGGCTGACAGCTAGGGTATTTTTGCTGTACCAGCCCAGTCCCCATTTCAGTCAGTGGAGATGTCACCTTTGCCACAGTGGCAAAAGCGCCCTGGCAGGAGGTCTGGAGGGAAGACACCGCTCACCTGGTATGAATGTAGCTGTTTAGGGTGAGCTGGGCTTCGTCTTGAAGGGCTGCGATGGCGGCAGCGTTTCGGAAGCTCCTCAGTTCGGAACCGCTGTGTGTAGGAACTGGAAAGCAGATCGGTTACTAGTTCAGCTGGGCTCTTGGGTGGGCCAAAGCAGTTCAGCTAGTGCTATCAGCGGAAATCAAGCGTTCCCATTAGTTCCCCCGCACGCCACTGTCAGCCCTTCAAAATGCAACATTGACACTTGGAATTCAACACCAGGGAACCTGTTGGATGATGCAAAGCTATGTCTGGTTTAAAACACTGGTTTTGCTTTCAAGTAGCCACCTCGTCGTTATCAGACCAGACAAGCAAGAGATGCTTTCTGCTTACCAGCTTTAAAAGTGACAATGCATTTGAGACAGGCAAATTCGGTAGCATCTAGCCGAAGTTGTCTGAATCTAGCCACAACCTCCTGTAAAGCCTGTATTTCTGAAATAATTTTGTTCAGCTTCTGAGACTCTGTATTGTCACCATTCATGCCTGGAACAGAAAGAGGTAAAATAAATAATATTAAAGGCATTTGCTTTATTTTATATTGATTTCTGACAAAATCCTGTGTATCAATATCCACTCTATTGTCAAACTTGTCTATCTGGTTCCATGTAAACTGACTATATTGTACGAAAGTTAATACAAAATCTTCTCTTGGATGATAACAAACACAGTAATTTGCATTTAAATGACAATGCAAGCAGTCATGAATACAACAAAACAACATTATTTGCATTTAAATATAGATTTATAAATGACAGGTATGCTCTATTGTTCAGTAGGAATTTGTTATTCTTTACATGTTGTTCTTTTTTCAGTAATGTATTTTTATGGTAATTTTTGTAACAAAGTCATTAAATTGTGCAATTCTTACCAGATACAGCCAGTAGAGTGTTAGCATCAACTGGAATGGCCCATTGTGCTATTCCTAGAACAAACAGTTCTCTCCAAGCATCTTCCAAAAGCATCAGCTGTCATACAATAGATGTACAATATAACATAGTGTATAATTTATAGATTTATCAACAATTTAAATATGTAAATTTCTGTTATTTTAAAAATCACTTTAAATGCCTGTCATGGTATTTTCCCCACAGCATTCGTTAGCTCTTCTCTTGGCTTTTTGAGAAGGTGTCTAGAAATAAGCCTCTGCGTTGCAGCGAAACACCGAGGGTTGGCTCGCGGCACGCCGTGTTGCGGGCCGAAAGGGAGGAGAGAGAGGAAGAAGAGCGAGAACTCCCGCCCCGGAGAAACACCCGCCTGTGTTTCTTAGCTTGGGCTCTCTTATCCTCTCCCTCGGCACATACAGCTGTCCTAGGACATGCTGGGTGAGTGGTCTCCTACTGCTCTCTAGGCATTCCCCTCCTTTCCCTCCTGAAGGCAGGATTTGCAGCGAAAAGCCTGGACAAAGTCCTGAAATTACATCACTCGGCAGGGAGCACTGCTTTGGAACACACATGTATCTTTAACCCCTTCCTTACTAAGCAAGGCGTCAGCTCTTCCCGGCACAGCATCTGGACACACCTACAGTTTCTCGGTGTCATCTGTTTCCTTGCCTTTTGCTTAAAACCACTCAGAAATTCCAGGCACTGAGCACCGTTTGCCTTCAGAGAACTGAGTAGCTACGCTGAGAGCATTGCCAGTTCTCTGCAACTTCCGTAGGTTGCCTGGCTGTATGGAGGATGTGGTTTTCTCCACGGGGAGGCAATGCCTTTGATTTCCGTGGAGAGGCAGTGGTGCATCTGCAGAGGAGACGCAACTCCTGGCAAAACGCAGGCCGGCCAAGCCAGAACAGACATGTTTAGTTTTGAGGGCATCTTTGGGTTGTTGGCCCAGAGCAGCTCTTAGGAGGGGTTTGCAGGGCCCCCAGTTCAGCTGAAGTTCATGCCCTAAAGGACTTGCTGTGGTGAGTACACACATTGCTGGAACCTCACATCTCTCAATAGGGTGGGAGAGCTTCGGAAGGGTGAGAACTGTAATGGACTCAGGAAGGATCATCTGGTGGCTCTGTGCAGTGAAAACAGATTGCCCAAAACTCATGCAGACAAAAAAGCAAGCCACGAGTATTGATATTGCTATGGTCCCTGAAATTATCAGCCCCTCAGCTTTTTAGGAAAACAGGAAAGAGAGTATTCTAAGTCCAGAAAAATTCTAGAAAAGGAAGAACAAAGTAAAAAAATATCTTACCAAATGAATTATGATTTCCTTGGAATCAGGTATATGAAAGTAATAGATGAGACAGAAAGCGTGCAGTAAGAGTGAATCCTTTTATCTGTGTGCTAGCTCCTAGCAATATTATGGGTTTTAAAACACCCTGTTCGAATTGGAATGGAAGAGCTCTCAGAGTCTCTGCTCCCAGCTTGTCACTGCAGGATTATGCCCATTTTGTGCCTTTTCTGTACTTATCTGTAACTGACTAAGGAAATAGTGATGGGAAAGTATTTCTGTCTCTGCTTGCACATAGTTAACTGTTTGAAATAATTACATTGGATTTTACAGTCCTGAGAGCTGCCCAGATCACTGTATGGAATACCAGAGGGGAAAGGGTGCAGTGCTCGTCTCCGGTCCCTTCTGAGAGCAGCCAAACCTGGTCAGAAGTCTCCTAACGGCTGCTGCCTGTGAACTCAGCCCCTCCTCTGGATAATCCTGTCTGATGGATGTGAAGGTTCCTATATGACATAGGAAATTATTTGCCAGCCTTTCATTTGCTTTTGTAAACCTTTTTTTGTCATTCATTCATGCAGATACAATGGTAATGAATGGTGGTTCCTGGAAGATATCAATTTCATATGTTCTTTCCCGCTAAGCCTTTAAAGTCAGAAGACTTTAGAAATAAGAGACTATTCCAATAGCTGAGGCTTTCTTCATGCCTATGCATAAGTCTGTAAAACCACCAATTAAAATAATTCATGCTGAAGTCATGCTCAGCCCTCCTTCTTCAAAGAAACAAGAAATACCAGGCTTTCCGAAGGACTGGGTTTTGCTCCTTTCTCAGCCTCATCCTGTTAGTACAACCTTTTGTTGGTGACCTGCATTGGGCCAACCCATCTTACGGACAAGCTGGGCAGGTGTACAGGCCAGCAGAACTTGAAGCATGACATTTTTTGTTGTGTGGCTTCCAGTTCCCAATGGGATTAGCTGGGGAAAGGGATACAGCCTGTGTTTTTACCAGGAGTAGTAACACAGCCATCCTCGGACTTGTGTTTTGTCAGCAGATTGGCTTCTACCTATTCCCTTGGCTCCGAGGTGAAACTGTCACAGAGTCCTGGAACCACAATGTTTTTGCCTTTTCAGAAAAGCACCACAAAATCAAAATCCAGGAGAAGGTTTTAGACTCTCCTCAGGCAGATGTCAGGGATACAAAAAGAGAAATGCAGACATTTACAGCTGGGCCATTGTCAAATTAAATAATGCAGTGGCACTATTATAAAACTCAACTGTCTCATTATTCATGAAATAAGGTGATTAAAATCATACTTATTTCTTCTCCAGCCCTCCTGAATATGACAAAGGAATCATAGAATGGTTTGGGTTGGAAGGGACCTTAAAGACCATCCAGTTCCAACCGCCCTGCCATGGGCAGGGACACCTTCCACTAGACCAGGTTGCTCAAAGCCTCATCCAGCCTGGCCTTGAACACTTCCAGGGATGGGGCATCCACAGCTTCTCTGGGCAACCTATTCCAGTGCCTCACCACCCTCTCTGTGGACAATCACACAGAAGGAGGCCTATGTCAAAGCTTTAGAGCTGAACAGTGCTGAATTTTGCGGAAACTGGCTTGCACAGAGGTGCAGCAAGCTAAGGAGATGTTAGGGAAAGGCTGGGATTTCAATATGTAATTCACTGTTAGTCCCTGTTATGGAGGGGAAAGATGTCCCTCAAGTAGAGAAGCAGTTTTGACATGCTGAGCTCAGTCTGCAACCTGGTAACTTTTCCTCTAGCACTTGTCCTCACATAATATTCACTTTATATAAGATTTTTTTTTCTGCTTTGATTTTCATTTGCTTCATGAAATAACAGTTGGAAGAAAGCAGTTTCTAAATCTGTGTTTTAGGGACAGACCAAAACTCTGCCCTGAATTTCAGGACTGCTGGAGCTCATTACAGATTTAAAGATCTTGTGCTGAAGGTTCAGGACCCAACCTGAGCTCTGAGCCTCCTTTAACAGGCAGACCAGGCCAATGCCACTCCCACCGCAGGTGCCTTACCTGGTCTTGTAAGGACAAGGTGGAGAAGGCTGGGACACTCTTGGCCCATTTGATGCTCATGAACAGGAGTCTGGCTGCTGACTCACAGACGGATTCAGTGGCCACTTCGTAGAGATACATAGGGGTACCGTTGACTTCATGTGGGTACTAATGTCAAAAAGAAAATAAAGCAACTTCATACAGTGTTGCCGAGGCAGCCTAGTCTTCCCCTCCCTTACAGCTGCCATTCAGTGCATCAGGCTCACGCCCAACACAGAGTGTGCACTCTCCTATTCTGCAAGCAGAGGGCATTGCTTGCAGTGGGCCCACTCCAAACCACTCTCTGCTGCTCATCCGTGCAGATGAACTGTGCTACAGAAACAGTTCTCTGGAGGAGGTTGAAAGGAGAGTGAAATTATTACACCAGGGGAAAAAAAAATCAGCAAAATGTGGTGTCATCCTTTACCCTGTTACACAATAGCACAACTCTGGTAGCAGAGTTAGAAGAATACAAAGTTGATTAAGGATCTGTGGTTTGTAACTTGTGCTTCAGAAGCTGGTTTAGCACTCCAGCCTTGCTCAGCAAAACAGTAAGTACCCGTTTATCCTTAGCCTTCATCTAGCTCCCTGACTGCAACAGGCTGTAAGCAGATGCAGATGTACAGAGCTAAGCATCACTACGTAAAGGGTGTGTAGCGTTGGAATAGAGTCACGCTTTCAAGTATGCGCTATGTTTTCTTGTTAAATAATTTCTGATTCAGTGTTTTCCAAAATTATGAAACTATATGTTGTGATCATGCTCATGATGGATTCTGCCAAGCTGCCAACTCTGGAAACAGAGAACTAGTTAAGTTGTCTCTTCTTTGATTTTCTAGGTGCTGTAAATATGTAAAATGACACTGCAGATGGGTTACTGGAAAGTACCACCTTATGGCTCATTCCTGTGCAGGTGAGGCCACAGCAGGGGTTCTGCTGGGCTCCTTAGGGAATGCCACCACCCAGGAGCACAGAGGCAGCTTAGACACCTGTGTGTGTGTGTGTGTGTGTGTAAAAGCTGCAGGCTTCCGTCAGTACAGGTGGTAATTTCCAGGCTATGCTACTGTGGAGATGGGCATTTTACTGAGGAAAACTGAGCTAGTGCAGCTCACCCTCATGAAACAAGGTTTCAAAGTGACCTGTGGGAGGGCTCCAGTCAGAGTGAGCACTTCTGCAGCCATGAGGGTGTGAGGATGCAGGAGAGACAGGGTTTGTTCGGAGCAGGTTGCCCTCCTGCATACTCCTTTCTGCACAGGACCTCTTAACCCCTTGCACCACCTATCTCAGACCTTTTAGGCACCTAACGAAAGAGTCCCACCACAACCTGCAAGGCCTCAAGCCTTGCACTTTGCCCCGTCTACCCCAGGAGCAGGAAGGAGCTGGTGGGTTGCAGGCACCCCAGGAACTGACCTTCGGGGTGGGCTGTGCCAGGCCCACCAGAGCCTGCCTCTCAGGGGTGCCGGTGACGGTGGCCAGCTCCAGGCCGTGGGGCTCCAGCTGGGAGACAGCGGTGAAGAAAGCGGGTGCCGGCAGGGCGGCAGCAGGGAAATGCGGGGCGCCACTGCTCTCCTCCTTGTGCCCACGGAAGTAGAGGGCCACCTGCTTCCGTATTGTCGACGTCCGGGGGCCCCGCTCGTGCTGCACCGCTGTGGGGCACCAAGGAGAGGTGAGGGGGTCATCACGGAGTCCCACACTGAGTACCCCGCAGCGCTCAGCTGAGCTTCCCTCCTTCCTGCAATTTTTGGGGGAAGGCCTCCCGCCCGGGGGGATGTCTGGGGAGCAGTGGGTGAGGCTGCCATGGGATGGGGGGCGTCATTAGGGGCCCAGGGGTAGAGGAGAGCTTGCAGAGACAGATGGCTCCTCGGTTCACGGCAAGGGCCCTGCTCCCCCACCACC